TCTTGTTTGCATGTGATGAGCCTATCTCATATATTAGTTTCACCTTTTAAGTTGCATTACTGAAATAAATGAACTTTTGCACGATATTTTAATTTTTCGAGTTTCACCTGTATGCTTATTTGAGACCACCTATAACGTGGGGTCTCATTATCTGGTGAGAGTCCATTGCAATTGGTTGTGGCAAATTCACTTAGTGGTGTAATCGTATTTGGAAGTGGACAATCCTTCATAACATTCACATCCAAACACATTGATAGTGCACTTTTTAGTTTGTTACATTGATTTACTGTCTATCACATATCACTTATTAATAAGGGAGTTATTCTCCCATGCACAAAATCATATGTTTGTCATTGTTCATATGATGATTATTCTTGATTTGTGATGTTTATGTATTTAAGGTAGTATTGTGGCATACAATGCAACTATTTATTTTTATGTAACTTTAATGCTATTGATTGCTTTTAGTGTCCTGATGAGATTCACTCTTCTGCTGACCATAGACATATGGGGAAATTAAAATTTTACTGCTGTCAGAGAAAGCAGTGCAATCCAATGTGGACAAAATTTTGGTGAAAGTGATGATGTGAATCCCCCTGTCTTTGGGAAAAATTACTCTGTTCCCCAGCAGGACACAGACAGGAAATAATAACATGACAGCGGTTTTAACCTTTCCCCCTTCTATTCAAAACTACAAAAAATAGTCTGGCTACACTCACACCTTAACCACAAGCCTACAGGGCACTTATACCCCCTTCATACCCTGGCCAATTTCCAGCTTTCAGCGCTGTCGCACTTTGAATGACAATTGCACGGTCATGCAACACTGTACCCATATGAAATGTTTATCTTTTTTTGTGACAGAGCTTTATTTTGGTGATATTTAATCAACTCTGGGTTTTTTTTATTTTTTCTTAAACCAAAAACCACTGAAAATTTTGAAAAAAAAAAAGTTTTTGTTTTTAGTTTTTGTTATAAAATTTTGTAAATAAGTAATTTTTTCTCCTTCACTGATGTGCGCTAATGAGGCTGCAGTGATGGGCACGGATAGGCTGCACTGATGGACACTGATAGGTGGCACTGATGAGGAAGTACTGGTAGGTGACACTGATGGGCATTGACAGGCATCACTGATGGGCACTGAAAGGCAGCACTGATGCATGGCACTGATAGGCGGCACTGACTGGCACTGTTGTTAGCCGGGGGGTACTGACTGGCACTGTTAGGCAGCACTGACTGGCACTGTTGCGCGGCACTGACTGGCACTGCTAGGCGGCACTGACTGGCACTGATAGGTGGCACTGATTGGAAGCACTGATAGGTGGCACTGAAAGGCAATAAATAAATAAAAGTGCAGCGCTAGATGTTAGTAGATAAATGAATAATAAAATTTCCCAAATAAATATAATAAACGCATAAATAAATAGTTCATAAAATATATAGGTAATCCACTTGATGTCGCAGTATACCAAGGCAAGTAGTTACAGGAGCAAATGATAAAATTGCGCACTCACCGGACGCGCATAGGTAATGCGCATGTAATCAATATCCAACCAGATCACTTAGGAAGGTGGAATAGGTGAGCATCCATCTAAAGCAGTGGTTCTCAACCTTTCTAATGCCGCGACCCCTTAATACAGTTCCTCATGTTGTGGTGACCCCCCAACCATAAAATTATTTTCGTTGCTACTTCATAACTGTAATTTTGCAGTGGGAGGACTAGCGCCCCATCACTGATGTCAGTGGGATGAATAGTGTCCCATCGTTGGTATCAGTGGGAGGAATAGTGCCCCATCATTGGTGTCAGTGGGAGGAATAGTGTCCCATCATTGGTGTCAGTGGGAGGAATAGTGCCCCATCATTGGTGTCAGTGGGAGGAATAGTGCTCCATCATTGGTGTCAGTGGGAGGAATAGTGCCCAATCATTGGCGTCAGTGGGAAGAATAGTGCCCAATCATTGGCGTCAGTGGGAGGAATAGTGCCTCATCATTGGCGTCAGTGGGAGGAATAGTGCCCCATCATTGGCGTCAGTGGGAGGAATAGTGTCCCATCATTGGCGTCAGTGGGAGGAATAGTGTCCCATCATTGGTGTCAGTGGGAGGAATAGTGTCCCATCATTGGTGTCAGTGGGAGGAATAGTGTCCCATCATTGGTGTCAGTGGGGGGAATAGTGCCCCATCATTGGTATCAGTGGGGGGGAATAGTGCCCCATCATTGGTATCAGTGGGGAGGAATAGTGCCCCATCATTGGTATGAGTGGGAGGAATAGTACCCCATCATTGGTATCAGTGGGAGGAATAGTGCCCCATCATTGGTGTCAGTGGGAGGAATAGTGCCCCATCATTAGTATCAGTGGGAGGAATAGTGCCCCATCATTGGTGTCAGTGGAAGGAATAGTGCCCCATCATTGGTATGAGTGGGAGGAATAGTGCCCCATCATTGGTATCAGTGGGAGGAATAGTGCCCCATCATTGGTATGAGTGGGAGGAATAGTGCCCCATCATTGGTGTCAGTGGGAGGAATAGTGCCCCATCATTGGTGTCAGTGGGAGGAATAGTGCCCCATCATTGGTATGAGTGGGAGGAATAGTGCCCCATCATTGGTGTCAGTGGAAGGAATAGTGCCCCATCATTGGTATGAGTGGGAGGAATAGTGCCCCATCATTGGTGTCAGTGGAAGGAGAATAGTGCCCCATCATTGGTATGAGTGGGAGGAATAGTGCCCCATCATTGGTATGAGTGGGAGGAATAGTGCCCCATCATTGGTATGAGTGGGAGGAATAGTGCCCCATCATTGGTATGAGTGGGAGGAATAGTGCCCCATCATTGGTGTCTGTGGGAGGAATAGTGCCCCATCATTGGTATCAGTGGGAGGAATAGTGCCCCATCATTGGTATCAGTGGGAGGAATAGTGCCCCATCATTGGCGTTAGTGGGAGGAATAGTGCCCCATCGTTGGTGTCAGTGGGGGGAGGAATAGTGCCCATCGTTGGTGTCAGTGGGGGGAGGAATAGTGCCCCATCGTTGGTGTCAGTGGGGGGAGGAATAGTGCCCCATCGTTGGTGTCAGTGGGGGGGAATAGTGCCCCATCGTTGGTGTCAGTGGGGGGAGGAATAGTGCCCCATCGTTGGTGTCAGTGGGGGGAGGAATAGTGCCCCATCGTTGGGTGTCAGTGGGGGGAGGAATAGTGCCCCATCGTTGGTGTCAGTGAGGGGGGGAGGAATACTGTCTCATCGTTGGTGTCAGTGGGGGGAGGAATAGTGCCCCATCGTTGGTGTCAGTGGGGGGAGGAATAGTGCCCCATCGTTGGTGTCAGTGAGGGGAGGAATAGTGCCCCATCGTTGGTGTCAGTGGGGGGAGGAATAGTGCCCATCGTTGGTGTCAGTGGGGGAGGAATAGTGCCCCATCGTTGGTTGGTGTCAGTGAGGGGAGGAATAGTGCCCCATCGTTGGTGTCAGTGGGGGGAGGAATAGTGCCCCATCGTTGGTATTAGTGACACAAATGATGGGGCACTATCCCTTCCACTGACACCAATGATACTTACCTTGCTGACCCCTGCTCCAGCCTGGGCTCGCTCTCTCCCTCTCCCATCTACAGCCTGCATACCTGGCTGCAGCAGCAAAATTTGCACTTACCTGTCAGCTGTCTTCCTTCTCTTGCCTCTCTCTTCACTCGCTCCTGCAGCTCCCTCGATCTTCTTCGATCTCCGCGTGCTGCCGCTCGGCTCCTCCTCTCCAAGCTCCACCTTCTCGCCGGTGATTGGCCGCCTGTGTGCCTCTCCTGAGTACAGTTCCGGTGGCCAATCAGCGGCGAGGAGGCGGTGACAGGGGCAGCATATCATCCCGCCCACACATTGCCGGAGACAGCAGCGGTATCTCGGTTCCTAAGACCATCGGAAATATGTGTTTTCCGATGGTCTTAGGCGACCCTGGGAAATGGTCGTTCGACCCCCAAAGGGGTCGCGACCCCCAGGTTGAGAACCGCTGATCTAAAGGTAGGAAATCTTGTCTTGGTGGTAAATGATTATAACTGCCAGGTCCAGAGGTCCCCTTAAGGTTGGATGGGTGCACAGACTGGATACAGGGCTCCCTCCCTCTGGTGGTAGTGGATTGTAATGGGATATCCTGGAAATTAATTAGCTCCAATGAGAACCAAAAAGATGCCCATAGTGTAGTATTGTTAAAAGGACTTTATTCAGAAGATGCAGTGGTTAAAACAGGGTAGTTAACACTCCATATGTGGCAGAAATGATGTAGAGTAGTACTAATCCCTTATTAAAGAGGCCAACCCCTCTGATGATGTGCATTGCACGAAAGGCCTTAGGAGGAGCCAACAGAGCGTGATATCACTGCTGCCTGGAGCCACGAGGAGGCACAGCGGCCATCTTTAATAAGGGATTAGTACTACTCTACATCATTTCTGCCACATATGGAGTGTTTACTACCCTGTTTTACCACTGCATCTTCTGAATAAAGTCCTTTTAACAATACTACACTATGGGCATCTTTTTGGCTCCCATTGGAGCTTATTAATTTCCAGGATATCCCATTACAATCCACTACCACCAGAGGGAGGGAGCCCTGTATCCAGTCTGTGCACCCATCCAACCTTAAGGGGACCTCTGGACCTGGCAGTTATATATCATTTATCACCAAGACAAGATTTCCTACCTTTAGATGGATGCTCACCTATTCCGCCTTCCTAAGTGATCTGGTTGGATATTGATTACATGCGCATTACCTATGCGTGTCCGGTGAGTGTGCAATTTTATCATTTGCCCCGGGTAACTACTTGCCTTGGTATACTGCGACTTCAAGTGGATTACCTATATATTTTATAAACTATTTTTTTATGCGTTTATATTTTTTTTTTTTGGGACATTTTATTATATATCTATCTACTAACATCTAGCGCTGCACTTTTATTTATTTATTATCTTATGAGGTTTGCTGTGATTACCTTGAGTGCATTGGCAGCTGATTTTAGAGCGCTCACTTTTCATTCATTTATTTGACACTGAAAGGCAGCTCAGATGGGCACTGATATGTGGCATTGATGTGCACTGGTAGGTACTGATATGTGGCATTGATGTGGCACTGATGGGCACTGACACAAGGCACTGATGGACACTGACAGGTGGCACTGCTGGGACTAGACTGATCATCAGGGCACACTGATCATCAGTGCCCTGATGATGAGTGTAGATGTCCCCTCCGCGGAAAGCCGATTACCGGCTCTCCTCTCTTCTCGAGCTCTCAGCGTGACAGCTCAAGAGGAAAGAAATGCCGATAACTGGTATTTCCCTGTTTACATGTGATCAGCTGTGATTGGACACAGCTGATCACATGACCAAGCCGACATCTTCGGCTCTTTCCGTGATCGGTGATCCGCTGTGTCCAAGGGACACTTCGCATCGCTGATTGCTGCACGCTCCCTGAGCCGCGCATGCGCAGTGAGAATGGGAGGACGTCATATGACGTCCTCCCAGAACAAGAGAACCACTATATGGCAGGCGGGAGGTGGTTAAAGTGTTACTAAACCCAGGACGCTGTATTCGCTATATCTGGTCTCCCACAGGACAGACAACATGGAAGTGCAATTATTTTAGCAAATATAAACTTCTAAATACCTTTTCTTATCAGTAGTTAGAGCAGTCTTTTTTCTTCTATCAGTGTCCAGCAGAGCACATGTTAAAGCTTGTAGGAGGAGTTTTAATTTTGCTTTAGGAGGATGCAGTACCCCTGACCTCTGTCTGGACAGTGCTGATTTGCCCTGTGCTGATCAGATACACTCTCACAAGAAAACGAAAACCACTCTAGCAGTACACACTAAATTTGAGCATGTGCAGAGTGACTCCACATGATAAGACATCAGGAGATAAGAGGGGGACACTGGAAGAAGGGGAGGATCAGATAAGTCAGGATCAAACTGCCTTTTTACACAATGCAGAAGAGTAACCCCTTAGGTTCCACAGTGAGTGTAACAAGCATGCTTTACTGCATATACTGACTGATTGTACTGTTGTGGGTTCAGTAACACTTTAACTCTCTTGATATGCATTTGTCCCCTTTTCATGTTTTTTAAACCGTTACTTTGAGATCAAGAGCCATTCATAAACTTGATGAAAAATACAGTTTTGTTGCCCTTATTTAACAGTGTATATACCTTTCTTTCTTCAGGCTAGAATTACATATTGTTGGAGGTTTTAATGATGAGCGACAACTATCACAAAAGCTATCACAGCAACTGCTTAGTAAGTGCACTAATTGTGATAATGTAATGTCGATAGCAATTTATATCATGTCATTTTGTATACTTTAAAGTGCTACTAAACCCTGCATTCATTATATTTGGTCTCCCACAGTATACAGAACATGGAAATGCAATTATTTTAGTAAATATAAACTGCTAAATACCTTTTCTCATCAGCAGTTAAAGCAGTCTTCTGACTTCTATCAGTGTTCAGCAGAGCACATTAAAACTTGTAGGAGGAAATTTCATTCTGCTCTGGGAGGATGCAGGACCCCTGACCTCTGTTTGGACAATGCCGATTGGCCCTGTGCTAATCATATGCACTCTTCCAAGAAAAAAAAAAACCCTCTCTAGCAATACACACCAAACTGAGCATGTGCAGAGTGTCTCCACATGAATATGTCTTTCAGGAGATAAGAGGGAGACACTGGAAGAAGAGGAGGATCAGAGAAGTCAGGATCAAACAGCCTTTTTACACAATGCAGAGGATTAACCTCTTAGGTTCCACAGGGAGTATAACGAGCATGCTTTACTGCATATACAAACTGATTTTACTGTTGTGGGTTTAGTAAACCTTTTACCTTGTCCATTTACTGAGCTGTACATGAATGCAGGTGTTGCTGGAGACTCTGGGGTGCAGGAATGCTTTTAGGCAGGGGTGTTCAGGGATCACTGGAGGTACAATGGTGCAGGACACTGGAGGTGTGGGAGGCTCAACTATAAAGTGGAGTTCCAGCTGTTTTTTGTGTTAATTAAAATTTAGCAGCTACAAACTCTGTAGCTGCTGTCTTTTAATAAACACACACTTACCTTTCCCAGGGTCCAGCGCAGTACCTTCTTTCCTTCTGTCCTCCACGGGTAGGGGGTGCCGGCATCTCTACTGTGGGCACCAGGCTGTGAAAGTTCCCAGGAGACTGCGGGAGCAAGGAGGGAGCCGAACTAACAGGTCACTTCGCCCGGGGAACTGAGCCGGAAGTGGGAGTGGGAACCTGTCAAAACCAGGTACCCACTCCCCCCCCCAAACAGTGGCAAATATGGGACTGGAGGGGAGGAGGAGGCAAGTAAGCGGAGCTTCTGCTTTTGAGTGGAACTCCGCTTTAAACATATTGAGTGAAATGTTTATCATATGCAGCTTGCTCTGGGGACTCTCAGCAGCGTGAAGGGGCCAGGAGCACTAGCAGGGGACCCGAGAAGAGGAGGGTCGGGGCTTCTCTGTACAAAACCATTATATGGAGCAGGTAGATATGATGTTTATTTTAATAATATATTAAAAAAAAAGCTTTACAACCACTTTAAACTTTACCTATTAACTAAATAATACACCACATTTTTCTGAGGTTTTTATTTGATTAACCGATTAATTGAAACCATAATCAACCAACTAATCGATTATGAAAATAATCTTTAGTTGTAGCCCTAAATTGAAAAAACCTCAGAAGGAGCGAGGTCATAATAAAATTCATAAAGAGGTGATACCAAGGTTTTCTGGAATAGTCTGCTTCAATGCAGCTGGCTGGTGCATGAGTGGGAGACTTGGTTTGGTAGCTTGCAGTAGTGGGCCCAACATAAGAGTTTGGTCCTTAGTTCTGGAGACAATACCATCTTCCCTAGAGAGTACTGGTTGATTCCAGAATCATCCCAGCTAGTATGCCAGTTGAATGGAGTAATAGTAGGACATGGTAATAACAATGGACTCTGGCTCAGCTGGAGCTTAAAAATTTTGAGAGTGAAAGGAGTATGGGAGTACATTAGTGATGACAAAGACAACCTGAGAGAAGAACAAGTACCAAAGGACATCTCTAGATGTTCATAATTGCCTTCCCTGATATTAAATGCAGTCTTCAATTCATCTCCCTCTGACGCAGATCAAGTTGTATGCATCCCATAGGTCTAGTTTTTGAAATAAATAGGCTCCATGGAGGCAGTTGAAGAGCTTTGTAATAAGGGGCAGTGGTTCCTAACAGTGATGGCATTACATGCATAGTTATTAATAGAAGTTGAGGAGCACATGGAATGACAGGAGGCCCCCCAAATGAGTAACTGAGAGATTGTTAGGATGCTGAGTGCAGGTATCCAGCAACAGAAGGGGTAACCATATCTGTGTGCTGCACCTAAGGAAGCCGGAATCAGAGTGCATATGACTAAAGTAAGATTTATTATTAGGTTTCATGCACACTTGAGCCTTTGACATCTTTTTTTTTTTCTGCCTGTAACGTCCCCTGCATGTTAGCCTATGTGTCCATGCACATATAGGTGTTTAGAGGCAAGGGGCGTTTAGAGGCAGAAAAAAGTTACTTGCACGTTCAAGAGAGGAGTTTTTTGGAATAAAAAAATGCATAAACACGCCTAAGCCTAGGTGTGTTTAACGATGACCTGGGTCAAGGGGAGCAGATATGAGGGTGTGAGCAGGGTACAGGGTGTAGGTACTGGAACAGGATCACAGTAGGAATTGGGGTTAAGGTTGAGAACATGATCAGGAACACACCGACAATAACCCTATGGGACACAGGCAAAAGGTACTGAGGGAAGCTTGTGGAAGGTTTATACCTTCACAGCAGCCAGCATCGGGTTTAGACTAATTAGTGGGATTTGCTGGCTACTGGGAGACACCCCCTGGTGGACATTGGGGCTACACCCTTCTGCTCTGGTAACCTCAGTAACACCAACAGGTGTTCCAGGTGCTGACAAGGACCATTCTACCAATAGAGAATGTTATTGGAGCCAGGGAGTGTGTCGCTGGTGGCATAACAAGGAAGGTGACTACCTCCTGGTGAAGTACATTCACAGACATTCACCTGACCTGCGTGGTAGGAGAGCAGATGAGCTCAAAGGAAAAGGACAGTGTTGTCTATTACAGAGACTTGAAGAACTTGTGGAAGAAGTCCAAAGGTCTAGGCAAGCCTTTTCACGTGGGACTCAAAAATGTTACCAGCTGCTCATGAATCTAGAAAGGCTTTTAAGGAGTGGTTTTGTTGAGATGCATCTTTATTGTGCAACTCCTAAAGATTTAAAAAAATCAATGCCATGGGGTTTATTTACTAAAGCTGGAGAGTGCATAATCAGGCTCACTTCTGCAAGGAAATAAGTCAGCTTCCAGGTTTATTGCCAAACCTTAATTAAACAAGCTGAGGTTGGCAGCTGATTGGTTTCTATGCAGAAGTGAGCCTAATTTAGCACTCTCCAGCTTTAGTAAATAAACCTCTTTGTGTCCAAATCACACTTCACAAATGTAACTAAATAACCATAAAATATCGTTCTTATTTTCTGCCACCTCTGTATGTTGGTCTTCTAACATCTGCAATTATCCACCACCTTTGTAACTCCACTATATAAATACTATTTTGTGTCAACTGTGCTTTATGGGAATTTTCCTTCCTTTTTCCATCCAACTTAATATATTACATTTCTTGGTACAACAAACTGCACCTCTGTAAATAGCATATGCATGTACAAATATTAAGCCAATGCATATGATGTACTGTGGTGTCCTATGCATCTCACCTGCCTGTTATGAGTCCTCCTAGCCCCGTCCGCAGCACCCACAGCTGGCAATAGCTCCTGCCTGCCTTGGTTACTCCTGCTGATGTGTTTCATCTTTGACATTGCCTGAGAATATCTGAAGCTCTTGTATGGTCTGAAAGTAGGGCAGACTTTGAATGGATACAGGAAAGAAAGTTCCTATAAAGCACAGTTGTTATGAAATAGTAGTAAAGTATTATATTCTATATACCAACGCCTAGCCCACTCCACCTCCAGACGTCAATCCACACCACCTACACCACCTCCCGACGCCGGCCTACACCACCTCCCGACGCCGGCCTACACCACCTCCGACGCCGGCCTACACCACCTCCCGACGCCGGGCCTTCAGCACCCCTGACACCGGGCCCTCAGCACCACAGACTGTAACCAGCCAGCTGCGGCCCCAGCCGCCCACCACTCCCTCTCCCCTCCTACGATAGGACACTGATGAACTCCGACATGGCATAATGGACTCTCCCCATCCTCACATCCTGACTGAAACCTCCCTCCTCTCCGACCTGATCAGCATTCTGCCCACCTTAGCATGCCACCTGCACTCCTCCTCCTCGTTCTCCTCT